ACTGTGCTGTTATGTTCTCTGTATAGGTAGGAACAGGAATAAACCATTCAGCTCCTTGAGCTTATTCCACCATTCAATGAGATCATGGTTCGTCTGTGGTCTAACTCCAATATACCTGCCTTTGGCCCATATCCCTCAATAGCTTTGCTTAACAAATAGGTATCTATTGCAGATTTCAAATTAGTAACTGATCCAGCATTCACTGCCGTTTGTGGAAGAGTTCCAAACATCCTCCCTTTTGTGTATAGAAGTGCTTTGTAATATCTTTCCTGAATGGTCTGGTCTGGCCCTAATTCTCAGACCATGCCCCCTAATTCTAGAATAACCAACCAGTCTGTCTTTATCTACCCTGTCTTTTCCTGTTAATCTCTTGAAGACTTTGATCAGATCACCCCTTAACCTTGTAAATTCTGGGGAAAACAGGTCTAATTTGTATAACAAAAACAAATTGCTAGCAAAGCTCTGCCGGTCCAGCAGCATCTGTGGGAGAAAGCAAATTTTAATGTTTAGAGTCCAGTGATTCTTCAGAACTCAAAACTTTAACTCTGATTTCTGTCAGAGATGCTGCCAGACCTGCTGAGTTTTGCCAGCAAGTTCTGTTCATGTTCTAGATCTCCAGCATCTGGCTTTTTTTTAAGTTTTAGCCTAATTTGTATAATCTATCCTCATATAATCTCTCCTGGACCTGAAGTCCAGGTATCGTTCTTGTAAATACAAGTTCTGCTTCGTTTAAGCCAATATATCCTTCCTAAGATGTGCTATCCAGATCTGTCAGTACTCCAGGGTTTTGTTTAACTGCAGCATAATGTCTGCAGACACTCTAATCCAGTCCTCTAGATAGAAAGGCCAGAATTTCATTAACTTTCTTGTTTATTATCTGCAATAACATTTTTAATTTTTTAAGTTCAAAATTTCTTTTAAAAGCTGAAATGATTGCTCAAGATTTCATATTCTAGACTTTTACTATAGGAAAAAGACTAAACATTGTTATTGTAGACAACCTGTGTTTTAAATTAACAACAATCAGGTATATGTTAATTTGCCATTTTAAAATGGATTTTCAGTTCTCCCAGTTTCAGACCAAAATAATTCTTGGCTCTGGAGGGTTACTTTTTACTTTTTTTTTCTCGAGCCCTGAAATTTTTAACTCCACAACTATGTTTTGCAGGTGGGCTTTTCTGGAGCCACCTCCCTGAAACCTAAGCTAAACAAACCTTCCAGCATCTAACTCCTTTGAATTTTGACTTTACAATGAATGCAAGCTGCCACCTGCAATTCCTATGAGATGAGCCCTAAAAACATTTTTTAATCTTTGACTTCTCCACTGGGCAATTGTAACAATGTTGAGTAGACCAAGAATGGTAAAATTGTATTGCTGTCCATTTCAGATGGGCAGAAAGCTTATCCTGCTTTGTGACTAAACTAGAAGTTTGTGTCCACGTTGTGACAGTGGTAATGGTGTTTAATTACTGATTTAAGCAGCCAGGAAACAATGTTGGTGCTATATACAGTACAACATGAGTGAGTTAGTTATAATGTTTCCTCTGGTACCATATTAATCTTTGGCTGGTGGCTGTCTGAACAAATGACTAATATTTATAAGATTGACTGACTACTAGGAAGATGTTTTTGTATCTGTTCCAGCTTTAGCTTTTCAATGTAATGAAATGTCTGAAACCAAAATATGACACCTACAGTATTAGATCAGAAGATCTCTGTGAAAGAGGTAGACTTTAAGCCGATCTTTTTGAAGAGGTGATAAAGACAGGGATGAATGGGAAGATATCTAGAGTTTGAGGCATAGGCAACTTGAACATCAATCAATAGTGAAATAATTAAACTCAGCAATGCATTTGAGGAGTGCAGATATTGAAAAGGATTGTAAGACTTTGTTGCTTGATGAGGTGCCACACTCTTCCCACTATTTAATTGAAGACAATTTTGCCCGTAATTCTGCATGTTAAGGTAGAAGTATTGTAAGTTAGCAATAGAAATTGGAATTGAGCGGGGGCTTTCTGTCATCAGCATATAGGTGAATACTCACTGCCCTTTGGTGCTATCATAAAGTAGAGTATGTGAATCTTTTAAAAGGGAGGCAAGAATAAACCCTTCAGGAGCACCAAAAGTATTGGTGCAAGAACAGGAGCAGAAGCTATTATAAGTGATTGATTGTCTACTTACAAGTAAATAGATGAGAATAGAATTGAGAGCAAGTTCTAGGTAGCTGGTTGATTCTGAAGATGTGTTGGCGAAGAATGATTTGGTGAGCCACAAAGACTGCAGAAAGGTAAATAAGGAAATGGACAAATGTTTACTTTCTTGTCACAGTCACGTTAGATATCTTTTGCATTTTAAGAGCTGTTTCAGTACTATGGGGAGGTGGGGGGGGGGGGGGGGGGTGGTGGTGCGCAGTGGTGGGAGTGGAGAATGCCCTGTAGAAACTAGGGTAAAGCCCTCGACAGTGGCAGTGGATTATTTGACCAGTGCACAATGCTATTTTTGATCACATAGGTAACTCTCATTGCTGGGATACTGAAGTTTGCTGAATTCTGTAGAATTCTATATCCTGCAGAAAGGTGGGAGAAAATTGCAGAAGAAAATAATTCTGTAATAAGAGGCTATTTCGTGTTCTTTTATCGTAAGATTGAAACGAAAATGATGTGTGTGCTATGTACTGATGGACGTTCCCTATAATGGTAAATTTTAAATTGCTTCAAATTTTCATTTGGTTTATAGAAACCATCAAAATCCTACCTTTTAAACCAATCAGCATTTCATAGTTAGTGATTGGGAAAAGCGATCCACTCAGACTCACTGTTAATGTCAGTATTTGGTGACTCATCGTGCATGTGGTTGTCATGACGGCCTCTATCTTTTTCCCTTCTCCTACCACACCCTTGCATACCCCACACCCTTAGTGTGCTTGATCTCCATTTTATCCTGTTGGCAGCTTGAGTAGAACTAAATTTTAACTTTATTGTGAGGGCCACATATGGTGTTCTCCAATTTTTTTATTATCCTTTTGGCGGAAGAATTATTCTCAGTGTGTAGTTCACACTTCAGAGACCATTCTGTCCCTTGACTTGGATTCTACACATTCCATTTGCCTTTCTTTAGCAAGATTTTGCAATATCGTAGCAAATTTGGGAACTGTCATGTTCCACAGTATTAGATACATGTAATTAATATCTGGTTTATGATGGGTTTTTTATTTAAACGAGTGTGGGAAATGTGGCATGATTGTGCGAAAGGAGTAAACTTGGACTAATTTTTAGTTTCTTGATTTTTTTTTTCTTTGAAATTATTACCTGATGTCTGACAAATATATGATATTAAATAGCTGAAGGCACTAGATACTGCAAACTTCCCAGAATACATTCTGGCAATAGTACAGAAGACTATTGCTCCCAGATTTGCCAACTAGTCTGCTGACATCATCCTGACAATGTAAAATAAAAATTGCCCAGATATGCTCTGTCCATAAAATAGGACAAAAAACCTAGCCAATTACTGCTCCATCAATCTGAATATCTTCTAATCAGCCTGTTCAGAAAAGTCATTACACACTCTGGACAAGTGGAACTCGAAACCAGGTCGCCTGGCTCAGAGAGATCTTACTACTGTGCCACAAGAGCTCCACCCCCATCAGTAAAGTGTTTTACATGAGTACAGTAATGGAAAGTGTTCCCAATAGTGCTCTGGAACCACACTTGCTTAGCAATATCCTGCTCACTGATGCTTGGTTTTAGGTTTTACCAGAGCCACTCCTGATCACCTTTATAGCCTTGATCGAAACATGGACAAAAGAGCTGAACTCCAGGGGTGAGATAAGTGATTTGCACTTGACAACAATGCCAGATTTGATCATGACATCAAGAGTCCTTAACTAAACTTGAGTCAATAGTAATTGGAGGGAAAACTCTGCTTGGTGTCATACCTGGCATAAAGAAGGATGGAGGCAAGGTATTTCAGCTGGAGGACATCTTCTGAAGGAGTTCCTCAGGGTAGTGTCCTAGACACAAGCATCTTCATCTGCTTCATCAACTCAGAAGTGGGGGTATGCGCTAATGGTTGCACTCTGTTTAGTGCCATTCGTGACACCTTGCATATTGAAGCAGTCCATGTCCAAATGTAGAAATACCTCAACAATATCCAGGCTTGAGCTGACAAGTGACCAGTAACATTCGTGCTACATAGTGCCAGGTAATAACCATCTCCAGCAAGAGAGCCTAACCTTTGAATGTCTAGGAACAATAATGTTATAATCACTGAATCCCTCACTGTCAACATTTTGGGGTTACCATTGACCAGAAACTAAACTGGACAAGCAATGTAAATACTGTGGCTACAAGTATAGGTCAGAGGCTAGGAATCCTGTAGCAACCAACTCACCACTTTACTCGTCAAAGCTTGTTCACTACCAACTAGCATAAGCTAAGAATGTGATGGAATACTCCCAGTTGCCTGGCTGAGTGCAGCTGTGAAAACACTGACAAATCTTGACACCTCCAAAGCAGCCCGTTTGATTGTGAATGTTGTACCACTCATTTCCTCCACCAGTCTTCAGAAGCAGCAGGGTGTGCTACGTATAAGATGCACTGCAGAAATTCGGCAACGCTTCTTAGCCAGCACCTTCCAAATCAGTTACCATCTAGAAGAACAAAGGTGACAGATACATGGGTACACCAGCACTTGCAAACTTCCCCTCCAAGTCACTCTCAATCAAACTTGGGAATACATCACTTTTTTACTGACTGGGCTGAAGTCTCTAATGGTGTTGTGGATCTACCTAACTCAAATCGTCTGCAGCAAAAAGCAGCTTACCACCATCTTGTTTCAAGTATATCTAGGAGCAAGCAATAAATACTGGCTCAGTCCATGATGCCAACGTTCTATGAAAGGAATTTTTTTTTAAATCAGAGTTTCTATACATGGCTTTCCTTCAGTATTTTGGTTTCTCTTAAGAGTCATGCTTAACTGACTTTTGTTTTAACCTGTAGGTTTGGATGAGAGAACAGGCCCTGGTCAATGGGCAACAGGCACACAGAGCAGTAGTCCATCGACATATGAACAGCCAAGGGTAAGAACAAATTATTTTCCTCCTCTTTTTCAGCTTTCTTTAGTTCTGATTCCATATGTGACTTCCCACTTCATTTTCTGTTTGTTTTCTTTTCTATTTCTTCCTGAAAATACCAAGTTGAACAAGACTATATTGGGCAATTATCTGTTTCGATTTTTCTTCTATAATGTTCCTTTATATGTCAACAGAATTCCAGTTGCTTTTAGGGTATGTTTTACAGTACAATGAAAACAGACGTACAAAATGGTTTGGATTCATCCTGCCATAATAGTTCTGGAGAACGGTCTAAAACGTGAAGCGATGGTGTCTTTGAGCCATATTGGGCTTTGACTACAGATTAACAATCTATTCAGTGCAGGCTGTTGGTGTAAATTATCTGATGTCAGCTCTGTTATTCTGGTTATTTATTCTTGCTTAGTGATTATAGTGACTTGAACTATGTATCAGCCTATTTTATACACATTTGATTCCTAACTGGCTCAAATTAGCAAGAAATGTAGTTGTTCCTAACTTTCTTTCTCCACCCCCCCCCCCCCCCCAGTTCCCTCAATTGGGAGATGAATTCTGACATATCTGTGTAGCAGGAGTTTTTGTCTTACAGCCTTGTAACCAAGGCTTTTCTGGCATCGTACAAGTTCCACACACACACTCTCTCGGTCTCCAACAGGTCTCACTGGCAAATAATTGGGAAAAGGTTTTATGGCTTAAGTCTGTCCCAACTCAATCAAGTTAAGGAAAACTATTTGATCCTTGCAATTGATCAACTTATTCACCAAGCCAAGAGTTTAGCCTTGTTCATCTGATTTGGTTGCCCTCGTTTAGCACCGGAGTCATTTGGTGTTTGACTTTCTATTTTTTTGTTCATGTGTCAGTGAAGGTAAAAAATACAGCAGAATTACAGTTCCTGATCACTACTCTGTATTTTAATATTAGATGCTGCCAGGATTGTGTATATCTCTGCCAGCCAATGGTTGAATGGTTTGCTGACACACTCCAAGCTCCTGTATTAAATGGTCACTTCAGTGAAATACACAAGGACGATCAGTGTCTGTGGAAAGAGTTAACGTTACAGGAGAACAGGGAGTGTTCAGTAAGAGCAGGGACCATCAACTAAGCATGTTTATCAAATCTGAGGTAGCTTGATTTATAAATGTTTTGTGTGCATCTTGTGCGTCGTTAAGCAATGTAAGAATTTGGAGGTCTAATGCAGATAAGAACTCCTAATTTTTTGGTTAATAGCTTTGTAGTAATATTTTGAATGTTCCATACCAGTAGTGTCAAAACTCAGTTTCGGCTTCATTACTGCCTTTGAGTTTTATGACACAAAATCCCATTCTAGAGCCCCAGTCAGGGAGCAGGACCTACAGTTTGGGAATCTATGCTGTATACATATGGTCATTTCTGCTAGTTTTGGGGATATTTGTTCTTGCTGATCTGTTGCAATCACTTTACAAATTAAGGTAATTTATTTTTTCCTCTCTGGACAGATGGTGGAAAGCCCATGAATGTTTTTTGAGGTTCTGAGCCAGATTATGCCAACAAAATAATGGTGGCAGAGTAATGCTTGACTTTATCAATATACAAAATGTCTAGCATCATAGATTGAAGAAAAGAAACCCCATGAATTGTTAAGTCTCTGCCTGGTTAATGAGATTCACTGTCTGCTCCATTATTCACTAGGGTCCCAGAAGCCCTGTTACACTCACTGTCAACTTGCACTCCCAGCATTGTATTGAGTGAAAGTTTTAAAGCCGAAATGTGGATAAGGAAGCCTAACAAAGGGGACATTTTGGGATGCTCATGCACTAATATTCAACTCTTGGATTTACTGCTCTCAATCTAAGTTAAGTTGTATAGCTAAGCTGGCTTTGTTTTATTTACAGGGCTATGGCGAAGGTTCTCACTATGGTGATCATGTATCCAACAGAGAATTGTCGTCACATGATGGCATATCATCTTCGTCTTTCATAAACCCCGGTCTTGTTGGTAAGTAGAGTTTGTTTTTAGTTGCTGAACGTTCTGAGTCTCTTGCATGTAGCTATAATGCTGTTGATTGCATTGTCCCAGTCGTTGAGCTCTACAATTGGCATTAAGAACCAGGAAATATTCTAGTACAAGGGGTCCCTAATTACGAATGTCCAAATTATGAATGCTTGGACTTGATGAACATAATCCCACACAGGGTGTGTAAATTTAAAGATTTAACGTACAAACATTTCCTGTACTTACAAACAGCTGTGTTCTGTTGTCCTGCATTGTGTTCCGACTTGTGTACAAATTGACTTGTGAATAGACTGTAGAATGGAACCATTGGCAACCTGAGCTGCCTGGAACTGTGTCTTAGTGGCAAGTGGCTGAGAGAGGCATTGTTGAAAGGTTTCTGAATAAACTAACTAAAAGACAATGGGGTAGGGGATTAAAAAATCTAGTCTCCGTGTAGTTGCTTTGTAGGTGTGCAAGTTATAAGGAGTTTGTTTTCATCCCCCCTCTTTTTAAAATTCTGCTACCTTCTACCTTAGGTTGATGTGTGGGAACCTAGTGAATGCAGATGGCTTATAGCTGAATGAAGTGGTAATTTGTGTGGTAGCTATATACATACTAAGAGGTTGGGAACTGATACTAAAATGTTGCATGGGTAACCCAAGGGCTGAAATCTGTACTAGATTTATTTTTTCCATTTGGGTCATGTAGTAATTGTCTTCTAATTTATCTGTTACTTGTTCTTTCATTTAGGTAGTTTAGCTGATTAATTGTATTTGAAAATGTTTAACATTTTCATGGTGATTACTTTCAGTAGTTCTTTCCAAAATGGGCAAGTCTAAAGATGTAAGGATATGAGAATTATCTAGTTATTTTAGTGCTGAAGAAAATCAGTGAGTCACAGAACAGCAAGGTACATATCTTGGTGGATCTTTTGTAATTTCAGCCACCAACCAAGAAAAAGTTCAGATTTCAATTGTAGATTTGATGTGATAGGACATGCCAAAGGCATACATTCCCCTTGCTCATATTGATATGAAAATGCATTCTAATTTGGGAATGGAAACGTAGTTTGGTTTCTCTTGGAAAAGTTCCTCAAAGGTATATCGTTGCAATTTTCTACTTGAATTGGCTCTGATACCATTGTATATGAAGCATAACTAATAAAGCATCTCTGCTGACAGCCGTAAGCTGCTTTCTGCAATCGCTATTTTGGTTCTGATGTGTTCTTGAGAGATCCCCAATGTTTTATATTTTGATTTTTTTTTTCCTCTCTAGTAAGTTGTTTTTTTTAAATGAATCTCTTGCTTGCTATTTATTGTGAAATTTCCTGCCTACCACCTTAATTCCAGTCTGCCCTGAGTTGGCATCTGCATTTCTGCTAACTCTCTCTAATAAAACCATCTTTGTGCCTCCCCAGTATGTTTTTCTGTGATCTCATTTCTGCTGTGCATTGAGTCTCCACTCACCCCTGTCTTGAGTCTGCTGCCTTTTTAAATACGCAAAAGCTTTCTCTAATGAGCTTCTGTTCTGCTTTCCAACTCCTTTGAAACCTACTGCTGCCTCCTGGGACTCTCTTTTTCCAACTGAGTTTACAGTGCTTTGGGATCAGTTCCTTGCTTAACCATCTTAATGTTCAAGGAGCTTGCTGAGAATGCTATTTATGCCATTTTACTGCATTAAATAAATTGAACAATTAATACATTATTTGTTAGTTGGCTTTATTTTTGTTTAATTAAAACAAAATGAACTCCTGAGAGTGTAGTAGAAAGCACTTTATGACCAGGTTGCAGGTAGAATCTTTTGAAGCTGCTGATCTATCGTGATCATGTCTATTTATTATTGATGTGCAGTTGTACTCTAATGGACCTGTAAGCTTGTTTTGTGGTGTTTATATATGCATAAAGTCTCACTTGTCATTAGTGCAATCGGAAAATATTATTAAGTTGATGGTGGTTTGAAGATGTGGATGTCAAATGTTGTGTGTCACCTTTCAGTAGTGGAGATGTTTTTAATGAGAAAACTAATTGCAATATGTTAACTTTTAACTTGGATCAAACCACTATGCAGTATAATTCAGTTTTTCCTACTGGCGTTTTGTGAAATCAGTGTGAATTGCTGGTAATGGTGGAAACAATTTGAGATTTGTGCAGAATGTGCTGCGAAAAGATGTGCCACATCATTAGAGCATATTGTTATAAATTATTTTTCTATTTATATCGTTCTGGTGGTAAAACATTAAATAGTTCAGAATATCCACTAACCATACTTTGTACTGTGGATCACTTATGCAGTTTCTCAGATTTGGCCTGAAAATATTTTTGCAACAGTTATGTATACTGTTTGGAACAGTATTTTGACTAATTTTTATATCTCAAATATCTGACCTATACATGAATTCTGTGCTTTTTTCTTGGCTACAATTTAATCATTCAACAGCAATTTGATGTGCAGTGTACTAGGTAGACTAGAGAGTTACACATTTTGATAATTTAACTATGCAAGGGCCTTTAGAAGCTGAATGGAAAGGTGTGTATGTATTGTATCGTAATAAAGGAAGGATTTTTTTCTTGAGTTGAAAGCAACTTTGAAGGAAATTTGATACAATTACATCAAGGGACCATCAATTTGTCAAATTGACCATGTTGCTATTCAGTGCTTTATAGTACTGTTGGAACTGGACTGTTGTTTCATATTTTCTCATTAAATTTTTACAGTGCTTACAGTTGTATGCATTCTGAAGATTTAATTGACTACTGAAGATATACTTAACTTTTTCAGCTGAAGCTAAGTCTTTCACAGTTGCAGGAAAATGTTAAAATGGGAAAAAGATGTCACTCAAACGTAACAGTCTAATTCTGGAATGACAAGGCAGTAGAGATACTGGTTTGTTAAATATGTAATTTGATGGTAATCCATAATTATGGATGGGATTTTAAAGTTGTGCTGATTGAAATAATCCAGCACTCTTCAGTGAATTATTTACAAAGCAAAAAAGGTGCCTTTTGGTGTTGCTAGGGAGTTTGATTGAACTGCTTCAAAAATAGAATAAACATTTTTTTCTTTGTTCAAGTTGGAGAGGTTTTATCTCCAGTTTATGATTAGAAGCAAAGATCTTGCAGTGACAGTGTAGGATATGTGAATGATGTTTGTCCTGTAGGATTTGCCAAGATCAATTCGTAGGCACCCATGTGTGAATTCCCTGTGGTTCAGGAAAACGGTAGTGACATGTGGTTGTTTTGCACCTGCACCCCTTGAGTGATTATAGAGTCATACAGCACAAAAACAGATCCTCCAACTTGTCCACACTGACCAGACATCAAATCTGACCTAGTCCTATTTGTCAGCATTTGGTCCATATCCCTCTAAACCCTTCCTATTAATGTACCCATCCAGATGCCTTTGAAATGTTGTAATTGTACCAGCCTCCACCACTTCCTCTGGCAGCTCTTTCCATATACATGCCATTCTGTGCATGAAAAAGTCTGTATGATTAATTTGTTATGCCAAGGGTAAACATTTTATTTTAAAAAATCTTGATTGTCTAATATTTGCATTGATAAAAGAAAATCTTTATTGACTCTCCATGAACGGGATTTTGTTTATTTCAGTTTGTAATCTCGAATTTTCTGGCAGCTCCTTTTTTTTTTTAATGAATACGATACCAATTTAGCAAAGAGATTTTTAAATACAGTCAGAAAAATCTTCAGCTTTTTATTTTGCAGATCAGTTTTATTTCTGTTTTCTATAGTTATGCTACAATTTTCCTCTTGACCCATTGGAAAACAGATGAAAAGTTGCATCTTAGTGTGCAGCAAAAAATCAGAACTTAGTGACGATCCAAATAAATTGCAGAACTTTTGTCATATTTTTTCTCAGTTTAGTTGATTTTCCACTAAGAGAAGAATTTAAATTTTTTTTTTAAAACTAACTCGTGTGTTTTTTATAAAATATCTGAAACCCACCTTGTTGCCTTCAGATTCAAGCTCTAGTGATTTCCTAGCCTGCCTCTACCATCCAAACTTTAAACTTGTATTGCTGTGAAATTCTGCTGTTCATCACAAAACTTTCACCAAGTCCCAGTTCCTTTCAACTACAATAGCTCATGGTCCAGCAATAATTTAAATTTCTTGAACTTGGATTGTTTCGTGTTTTCCTCTCTCAATAGCTTTGACCTTCTTCATCTCTGTAACCCACCATGATCTCTGCATTTCTCCAATTCTGGCTTCTTGTACATGCCCAAATTTTGATTTCACTGCAGTCAACCATATCCTCATCTGCCTTGACACAAACTTTGGAATTTGCTCCCTAAACTTGTCCACTCTTCTTAATTTATTTTAAGATGATCAAAGAGGCAAAACTTTATTGCGCATTGTTTTATTCGTCTGACCTGATATTTTCTGATGTGGCTCTGTGTCACACTTTGCCTGATTGTTGCTATGAAGTTTTACGGTGTTTTGAGGCACTGACAATGTCAAGTTGGTGATATGTGGAAATGTCATTTTGCCACAAGGAAATATTTAGCTGGTATTACAAACAATGGGCTGTGAAAAACCTGGATCTTCAACTGTATTTTGTTCTTGGAATTGTAATTTTGTTTTTCTCATAACTTTTCAGTTCAATTTCGGTATGTGTTCTCAGGCTCTTGCTTTCTGTCTTGTATGCTTTCACTTTCTCTCCCTGTTTCATGTTCCTGCTTTCTCCATCTCCCTGTCTGTCTTGTGTGCTTTCCCTCTTTCTCACTTTCTCACTGTCTCGCACATTCTTACCTTCTGTATTCTTGCCAGCTCCTTCTGTCACATTCTTCTTCCCCCACATCCACCTGTATTTCTTTTTCCTTAGCACAGCTTTTAGAATTTACCCATTTTTCTAGAGGATTTATGACAAACCAGTTCACTTTCCTTCTTGTACCATTTGGAAAATAAACTTGGTTTTGCAACCTAGAAAAAGTGACTTCAACAAATTGTGATTACATTCTATTCAAGCCAGTAAAGCCTAGCTCTTGC